GTTTGGGGGATTTTTGTCTTCTGGTTGGTTGGTTGGTTTTAACCTCCTTCCTGCTGTACCTGGCGCCCATGGGGTGGCAGAATTGTTCCACGTTGTCCTGCGCTCGCAGCAGCGGAGCGTGGAGCTCGCGGGAGCCGCCTGCGGCGTCGCTGGATCCGCGACGGTCCCGACGGTCCGAAAGGGAAGGGCTGCCGGCAACAAGAGCCCGTCCTGCTGCTGCGCATCCCTGGCGTGGTGGGAATGTGCTGGGACGTGTTTATGGCCCAGTCCTGTCGCCCCCGAGCAGGTTATTTTCATTCACTCCGAGGATTTCCGTTCGAGGCCGGGTGGTTGGCTCTGCTTGTAGGAGCGATTTGGTGTGGGGTGTTTTTTATCAGCTGCACATTCCCCTTCCTGCAGTGCTTGGAGGAAGTGTGGCCTGTGTTGTCATCTCAGAACCAGCTGTTCCTCTTGCTTCTCCTTGGTCTTAGCTTTCTTACGGTTTCTGTCATGCCAAAATTATTTTCTTCCCTTTTTAAGTTATAAGGAGTAAACAGCTCCTACCTTAAAACAGACCAAGCGGGAATGCTCTAACTTCAGCTCTTCTCTCAAAAAATCCTGTCACTTTTTGCATTTTCTTAGGCATTGATGTGCTTTAAAGTCTTCCCCTTTTCCCTCACTGCTCCCAAGTCTTCTGGGAGCCCCGATGTTGTATCCTGGTGGATAACCAGGAATCTGTTTTGTTCCTGGGTGTAAGAAGGTTCCTGGCAGACTCAGGAATTCCCGACTTTGCCTTCCTTCCCGAATGCATCAGCCTGGCTGTTGTGGCACAATTCCTTTCTTTTTCTCCAAAGAAGCTGCGTGCCCATCGTATCCTGAAAAATCTTATCCACATATTAACAAAAGCACTTGCGAGGTGAAGCTCAGAGGAGTGTGTGTTAGCTTGTGCCTTTAAAGCTGGGACAGGTTCTCCAGCAATATACTGCATGGTAATGCAGAGACTGAGAAAGCTCATCACTTGGGAAGTCATAAAATGAACTTGGTAAAATAGATAATTATGTAATTACCTTGTGCTTGTTTGGTTTTATCATTTCCTGCTGCTAGGGCCCCAGCACTAGGTCAGAAGAAAGATTTCACCAACAGCTGCTCCTGTCATCAGTGGCTGTTTCTCAGATGCAGGTGACAAATGCAGTCAGATAATCACTGCATTGAATTACCAACACAAGTGGGTTTGTTTGCCCACTCATTTGTAATCTTTGCTGATATTGGCTTCTTGGTGGCAACCTGGTCGCGATCGGCGGCAGCGCTGGGGACTCGGTTCCTTCTGCAGGGACATGAGGGTTCACCTGCTGCAGGAAGGACTCCAACCTCTGCTCCATCCTGAGGATCTCGATGGGAACGGGAGCTCCTGTGTGCCAATCCCGTCCTGTTTTTTTTTTAAAAAAACCTTCCTGTTGTGGGAGTTTTGACCTGCTCTTGTTTTAAAAATGGGGCAAGGAGAAGGTACCACATCCCACTTCCTTTCCACATCCCTCATGGGCTTCAGTGCCCTGCACGATGACCAGCTCAGGTAGGAACATGCTCCACCAGCACGACTTGCTCACCGGTTCTCCAGTTCCATTGCTCTTTTTGTTGTAGTTGGCCAAAATAAGGTAATTTTCACCTTTGAGGGGGCATTGCTTTGACTTGTTCTTGCCTTGGCTGCAGGAATTAGGTGGAGCCTTCAGGTTTGTGAGGAAAGACTCCGTTCATCTGCGGGGCTGATGACACACCTGGGGGAGCTTGTGCTTTGTTTTAACTCCTTAAATTATTTATTGATGCTCTTAAGCTCCAGGGGGAGATCTGTGTGCGGGAATCGTGCGGGAAGCTCCATGGCGCGTGGGGAGCTGATCCGTGGGGACGGATCAGTGGGGACAGGTCCTCGCGGCTGGACGGGTCCCGCCGAGCCCGGGATTTGTGGCCTCGCGGCTGCTTGGTGGGAGCTCCCGGGGCAGAACTCGCTGGCTCTATCGCCCGTTCCAAACAGGACGCTGAATCACATCCCGGCGCGGCCGCCGCATCCTGCCCTCGCGCGCTCCGTGCGCCGCGGCCCGCGCGGCCGCGCTCCAGGTGCGATGAGGCCCCTCCGTTCTGCGTGGGTTGTGCAGGGGCGTTCGAGGAACGAGGGGCTGGGGACACCCGCTCGCTCCGTTGGGCCTCGGCCTTCCCGGGAAACCGGAGCCGGCTCGGAGCTGAGCAATGGGATGGGCTCACTTGGATGTAGAGTGAGAGCAGGAGACCTGCCAGGCTGAAGATGTGATCAGACCTGTAGGAATTGTAAATAAATCCTTAAAAATATCCTTTTTTATTTTTTTTCCCTAAACCTCAGCACTTTGGCAAAAGTACCCCCTGGCCCTGTTATCAAAGGTACTGCCTTTGTGCTGACGCTTTTTTTTTCTGTAAAAGGCAGTGCATTTGCTGTTTATTTAGGCATTAAAGAGCAGGGTCAGAAAAATATTTTGGTTTCAAATACCTCAAGATTTTAAATACCTTAATCTTTGATAATCGGTTGCCAAGATCTGTGAGTCAGGGATTTCTCATACGAATCTGAGCCTGACAAGTGTCTTTCGGATGTTTTGGGGAAATGGGAAATGGAGGACAGTTTTGTAGGCATGCCCTTACTTTTAATGAGGTTTTCCTTTTTTTGGTGAGTTTTAGTGAGCACTGAGGTTTTTTTCTTTCTCAGTTTTAAGTGCCCACCTGCAGCGTGCGAAACGCCGATGGCAAAGCACTCTGCACACAAGATCAGAAAGCAAAAGAGGCCAAAAATTATCTCGGTCTCTGAGGGATTAGGATGCCGACTGCATCCATTATTTACTTAGGCTTAAATAGGAAGAGAGGGTTTTTCTCCGCAGAGCTTGCTCGGCCCTCTCTGGTGCTCTAAGCGATGCGGTCCGAGCAGAAGGCAACGCCGTTGAGCTGGTGCTCCCAAATGGATCCAGATCTGCTCCCAGGAGAGCACCTGGCAGGTCCGAGACGCTCCCATGGGGCCTCCCTGCCACCCTTCCCCTTGAGCCCTCGGTTGCTTTTCGCTCCGAGGGGTCTATTCTCCATGCAAGGCTCAGCCTCCTTTAAAAGAGAGCGGATTCATGGAGGGAAGGTGGAAAGGAGGGATCGTCTGGGATCCTGGGGTGCGTTAAGGAGAGCGTCTCCAGCAGGTCCAGGGAGGGGATCCTGCCCCTCTACTCAGCCCTGCGGAGGCCACATCTGGAGTATTGTGTCCAGTTCTGGGCTCCACAGTACAAGAGGGATGTGGAGCTGCTGGAGAGAGTCCAGCGCAGGGCCAC